TCGGCAACCATGTCACTGCTACAACAATATTTGAGATGAATGTCGCCTCCTCGATAGATATCACGTATAAAATGGTATTTTATGTCGATATGCTTACTTCTTGTATGGTACACGGGATTCTTCACAAGATTCATAGCACTGAGGTTATCTCCATTTACGACAATCGCCTTAGGACACTCGAGGTTTATTTCTCCCAAAAGTTGTCGCAAATATATTGCCTCTTTAACTGCAGATGTAAGTGCCATATATTCGGCTTCGGTGCTGCTGAGCGCTACCGTCGATTGTTTCTTCGATTCGTACGAGAAAACTCCCCCAGCGAGTATAAATGCATAGCCCGTATATGATTTACGGTCACTACTATCCCCGCCCAAATCTGCGTCAACAAAGCATTCCATCTCTTTACCGGTTTGGTGGTACAAAAGCTTCTTGTCTTGCGTTGCATTCAAGTAACGTAGAATTCTCTTAGCTGCGGCTAAATGCTCTGTATGCGGATCATTGTTTCTCTGTGCTAATTTGCACACTGAGTGCAAAATATCTGGTCGTGTGCACACAGCTAAATACATTAGCGACCCTATCAAGGATTGGTACTGCACCTGATCCACCTTTTTACACGTTGTAGTATTGCAATTAATTTGATGTCCTGCATCCAAAGGAGTAGCAATCGGTCGGCTGTCATTCATGCCAAAATCGTTTAATAGTTTTCTAATAAGTGCCATTTGTCCAATAGATATAGAACCTGTTTCACCATCGCGATTCACCTCCATGCTTAGAAAATGCTGTACTGGTCCTTTGTCGACCACTTCTACTTCCCTTGCAATACTGGCTTTAATATCGTGCATTTGTTTAGAGTCGGAACTAGCTATCAGTAAATCGTCAACGTATACTGCAATAATATTAATTTGCCCATTTTGATGGTTTACGTACACACAAGGCTCGCTCTTGCATGATTGGAAACCACTCTTCTTTAAAATTTCAGATAATCTTAAGTTCCATTGTCGCCCGGACTGTTTAAGTCCATACAGGGCTTTACTCAGCTTCAAACAATGGTTAGGAAACTGTTTATCAATAAACATCTCCGGCTGACGCATGTATATATCTTCACCCAACTCGCTATTTAAATATGCGGTGGATACATCCATATGCTGAAGATGTAACCCGTACTCAGCTGCGAGTGCAAAAATCATTCATATAGTGCTATACCTTACAACGGGTGAAAACGTTTCATTATAGTTAACGCCATAAACCTGTGAGCAACCTTTTGCAACCAACCTAGCTTTAAAGCGTTCCACCTTACCCTCCTGATCTCTTTTAATGGCAAACACCCATTTACAACGTACGGCTTTTTACCCTTTTGGGAGTTCTGCAAGCTGCCATGTTTCATTTTTCAGCAGAGAATTGTACTCATTTTGCATCGCATCGTACCACTTAGTAGCATATTCACTTGAAAGTGCTTGCTCTACAGAATCAGGGATCTTTACGTCATCGCCATTTATTAGATTTAAGTACGTATGCTGCTTCATGGGTCTACCTGGTCCCCCACTACGAACCAATCGTGGCCTACCGGGACCCCTTTTTAAAGGAATATCGGCTACTTGCTCTTATTCAGCCATCTCAAATTCATCGTCACCGTTTGTTGCTATAACTTCCACCTCTTCTGCGTTTTCGATCGGCATTGTATCTAAATTTGTGCGTTGCTGCCGCAATTCATTACCAAAAGTGTCCATATCAATCGCAATCGGATTCTCTTGCACACCTTCTGCAACCTCAGTATTCAACCCGTCATGTTGTTTCGCCGATGTTGACTCTACAAAGTAGACATCTCTACTCACTATCAATTGTCGTGTTTGTTTATCATATAGTCTGTACGCTTTTGATGTATCGGAGTAACCGACCATGATATACTCCTTGCCTCTTGGTTTGAATTTGTCTTTTTGCTTTTTATCCAAAGCTATCGCGAGTGACCCAAATATACGTAAATGCCCAACCGCAGGCTTATAGCCATACCATGCTTCGTATGGTGTCGTAGCATTCAATGCTCTTGTTGGTGCACGGTTTCTTAGGTATACTGCCGTATTAACAGCCTCTGCCCACAACCATTCACTCACACCAGAACTTACTACCATACACCTTGCCATCTCAATTAGTGTACGATTTAGCCTCTCTGCTACGCCGTTTTGTTGTGGTGTGTAGGGTACTGTTAATTGGCGCACAATACCATGCTCTTTAAGAAATCTATCAAACGCATTATGCACAAATTCTGTGCTGTCACTACGAAGCATTTTTATTCTTTTTTGTGTTTGGCACTCAACCATTTGTTTAAATTCTTTAAACTTATCTAGGACTTCATCTTTGCGTCTCAAAAAGTAAACAAATACAAATCTAGTCTTATCATCCATGAACGTCAATACATATTTCGCACCACCAATCGATTCATGTGTCATGGGCCCACACACATCCGTGTGAATCAACCCCAAAATCTCTGCTGCTCGGCTATCTGACTTACTGTATGGCCGCTGGCTACACTTACTAGACATACATATAATACAATTTATGTCTGTTGGCATATTTACTTTCATTCCCCGAACCATGTTGTTGTTGCTCAATTCACGCAAGCTAGCAAAATTTAGATGACCGTATCTAGAATGCCACTTCATTGCCTCATGGGCGGGTTTGCATGCAAAAAACAATTTGTTTTTATTGGGCTCAAATAGAAATAGATCACATAACTTGTTTGCACTTAAAATCAATGCCCCGTTCTTATCTTTGATCATAGCTTCATTTCGTGTAAATTCAACTATGTACCCACTGTTTACTGCTTTGGAAACTGATATAAAATTACATTGTAGCCCTGGTACGAACAATACTTCAACAAGTGTGACGTCAAACATGTTCGTTTTCAAACGAACAATCCCTTTGCCAGTCGCTAAGATTTTTTTGTCGCCAGCAAGTATGATCTCTTCTTCATACATCTCGAATTCACTGAACTTATCGCGGTCGCAACACAAATGAGAGGATGCGCCACTGTCGACGCACCAAGCATCAGTATGTAGCAATTTTTTGCTGACCGCCGCAAATAATCCATTGCTTTTGTTGATGTCACCTTTTTGCTGTTTGTGTACGTTTTGTTTTTCTCTGCACTGAGCAGCGAAGTGGCCCTTTTTTCCACAATTGTAGCATTTCATATTATGTAGTTTGTTCTTATTGTTTTTGTTTGATGCGCTGCCTACTTCGTTTAATTTCGAATTCGTAGGATTATTCTTTTTGCTAGAACTTTCGCGAACCATGAACGCTTGTACGCTACTATCGGTGTTTTCCGTAACACATGATTTTCGTCGTTCGCCTTCTTCTATTAGCTTTATTTTTATTGAATTAAGCTTAGGTAGCTCATCGCGAGCCTCCAATGCGACGACCAAATTTTCAAAGGATTTTGGCAAGCTTGCTAGTAGCATAATGACGAAAAACTCTTCTTGGAGACTTACTCCAATTTCTTCAAGCTTTTCTGCCAAGGAAGTAAATTTGCACACATACTGTTGAACGCAGTCGCCGTCGCTCATACGCATACCAAGAAGACGCTTAAACAATGTTACCTTACGTACCGGCCCTTTTGGTCTATGAATCTCACGAAGAGTATTCCACGCCTCACTTGACGTCTTGCAATTCTTTACGTGGGCTATCTGCATCGTCGTTATACCCAATATTATAGTTGCTGTCGCCTTCTCATCTTTGGCTTTCCACATTAGTACCTTCTTGTCGTCTGCAGCTCCTTCTGGACAGGGTGTTTCTCCCGATGTTAACGACCATAGCTCTTGGTGCACTAGCACACTCTTTTGCTGAATACTCCAAGAGTCGTAGTTT